GATTGATGCCCTATCCAATTGCTAATAGCACTGCCCCCTTTCGATCTCAAAGGGGTTCTGGTTTGGACTATAAAATGTCAGCCTACTTACAGGTTATACATTTTAAGACATTTTTCCTGTTAAATATTTGGAATGAAGTTTCTTTCAAGCATGGCTATGGAGTAAACACTCAGAATTCCTCTTTCTTTGCAGTGAGAGGTAGAATAGCATTTGCTCTGGAGTCAGATCAACATAGTTGCAATCTTAACTTCAATACTTAATAACCACAAACCTTGGGCAAGTTACATGATCTCTCTTTGCCTCATTTACTTAGCTGTAAGATGGGGCTAAAACAGCAGTCCCTAACCTTTTTGGCACCAGGGTTTCAAGGAAGACAATCTTTTCATGGACGTGGGAGAGAGGGTGGTTCAGGTGGTAATGAGTGATGGGGAGCTATGGAGAGCAGATGGAGCTTTGCTCACTAGCTTGCCTGCTGCTCACATCCTACCTGTAACCACCCAGTTCATAACAGGCTACAGACCGGCAGCAGTCTGCGACTTCGGGGTTGGGGATCCCTGGGCTAAAACATACCTCAGAGGGTCACTGTGAGGACTAAAAATAAAATACTGTGCTTTGCACATAGTAGGTATCTTTGCTGTTGTTGTTCAGTCGCTAAGTTGTGGCCAACTCTGCAACCCCAAGGACTGCAGCATACCAGGTTCCTCTGTCCTCCACTATCTCCCCAAGTTTACTCAAATTCATGTCCATTGACTTGGTGATGATATCATCTTGAGAGATGATACCATCTCCAGGTATCTTTAGGCCATACAAAAAAATACTATCCTCATTTTCCTGCTCAACTAAAAAGTATGTCTTCCTTTCAATACCAAAATACTATCAATACATGGGTTGCTTCACGGTGTGGTGGTGGTTGGTGCTTTAGTTGCTAAGTTGTGTCCAATTCATTGTGACCCCATGGAATGGAGCCCACCAGGCTCCTCTGTCCATGGGATTTCCTAGGGAAGAATATTGGAATGGGTTGTCATTTCCTACTTGAGGGGATTTTCCTGATCGAACCCAGGTCTCCTGTATTGCAGGGGGATTCTTGACTGAGCCGCCAGAGATGCCACTTCATGGTATATATAGGAATTGGTTACTGTGTAAAGCACTCAAGACCATGATACAGTGTTTAAAATTGATGACTGAGTTATTTCACAATGACCAATGTAACTGAATCCCAGTGCTTTTGGAAAGACCAGTGACTCCATCATCCCTCAAATTCAATACCTTTTCGCATCCACTGTGATCCAGTTGTTGCTCCCCTGGCAAATGTCACCATCTTGTGCTAAACCCAAAGAAATCCACTTAATCCTCATCTTTGCAACAGGGTATGGTCACTTTTGAAAACTTAGTTTGTCTAGTATCACCTTGGCTTTCTTCTCCACTGCAATCTCCTCTCCTCTTATATGCTGGCGTTCTTAAGTGGGTATTTGATCTCTCTCTCCTCACCATACAGTTGTATGATTTCCTCTGGCACCACCTTGATTATGGACATATAGATACATGGCTCTGGTTCAAGCTTCTCCTCATTCCAACTACTTGGATGCACTACAAGCAATTCTGTTCTTACTTCCTATTCTAGTTAGAAGCACCCCCCCCCCCACAGGTAGACATCTAATTGGTCCTGTGAACTTTGTCTTTCAAATCTGTGCTCGTTTGCAAACTCACAACATCCAAAGTTAAAAGTCCAAATCAGTTCTTCCTTGAATTTCCATGTTTTAGAAATATCCCTTGGGCAGACATGTGGAAGACAAAGAGTGTGCTAAAGCAGGCAAGAAGACTACTACAAATTCAATGCTGTTTTTGCTTAATTCTGTGGATGGGTCCACAGTAACTACAGGGTAAAGTGTAAACACCTATCATGGAATAGCAGGCTTCCTATCCCTCCAGTTGCCTTTAACATTATTCTGACCCCTTAGTTCCCAAATTCTCTTGCTCTAGAAGGTGTGATATAAATCCTGCTGAAATGCAAGCTGTACTACTACTCACCCTTCTTGTTATCTCTTCTTGGTTTTGTTTGGCATATTAATGTGAATCTCCCATGAGATGTGTGTATGAAGAGTAGATCACATCTTATGCAGATTCACTTTTTAGGAGATGCTAAATATATTGACTAAATGAAAATACACATGATAATTTAAAGACGTTCTGAGAAGCGGGCACTTTATTTAAGGTAATTTCATAATATTACGTGATCTTTTACTTCAGTTGACTGGTAATTTCAAAGTTCCAACTGTCAAATTACTACTTTGGAAAAGTGACTTGGATTTCAGTTCTAAATGCAGAAGCCAGAATGTTTTAATTGATTTAACTTAAATGAGTTAAACAAGTAGAACTCCTATAACGACAGTGTAAGATTACTGTTTAGCTGGTGACAATGGGAAAAAAATATGGTTTAATTCCCACTTTCTGGATCAACATTTTTTTTAATACACTGTATTAGCTTCTTTCTCTAAACAATGTGTGTGTGTGTGTTAGGATGTTAAGGCACCCAGATAGAATGTGGTTAGGGGGATTTATCTATACAAGCAGTAAAAAGAATAAAAAAAACCCCATTCTATATTTTCTGAAACCTAAAAAAATGTACATTATAAAAGCTGTTAAATTGATGAAAAGAAAGCAGTTTACATAAGAGTTTGTTCATCTACTTATACTTCAGAGTAATGTTGATATATTTCATTTGTCTTCTATCCTCTTACCCATTCAAAGATTAAGTGAGCAAGTATTACTCTTGTCATTTAACTTTCAAATATGTACTTAGTTAACACCACTAACTTACTTTTAAACGTCAGACAACTTATGTTAATCTTGGCAATAAACTATATCTTAATAAAATGATAGAAAATAAAACATGTTAGTAAGATAAAGTAGAAATGGTTAAGGAACATTTAAGCATAGCTTTAGCATTCTGATAATCTTTGCTTCTGGATAGCTGCCTTGCCAATTTTTTTCTTTAAAGTATAGCTGATTTACAATGCTGTGTTAATTTGATTTGTAATTTTTATTTGCAAAAATGTATGTCTTGAGTTCTTTTAAAAATATCAGTGGTTAAACATCTTAAGCAGCACTTAGACAAGCACTCTTGCTTCTTCACTAAAACACATTTGCAATTATTTCCTTATGAAATTGTTAAGAGATGACTGCTGCTAGTAGATTTTCAAGTTCAGTATTTACCAAATTATTAACTAATTGGATAAAATGTCTCCATGCTTTCAAGCCTTCAAACTGTTTCTAGGAGGACAACATACTCCAAAACTATCTGAAAAAGAGAACTTGTTAATCCAATCAGCATAGCATTTCACCAGATAGGATTATAAATTCTCTTTAGTTATAGATAATTTCACTTAGAGCATTCTCTATGCTTCTTCACTAAATATTCCTGGGAAAACCTTAGAAAGAGCAGCATGATAAAATGAGAATATGTGTCAAATGCAAGGTACACTATAATATGAAATAGTATTGTTAATTAAAAGTGATTCTGTAAGGCTAATACAGCTTACTCTATTTTACTACTGCTACAGAACTGAAAGACTCCCTCCCCTGCCCATATCATGTCATGCAAACAGAAAAGCATGAAATGTCAAAACTGCCTAACATTAAAAAATAAGTCTCTTAATTTATTTGCATTCTAAAATAGAGCCCCTCACCTGAATCTCTTTTCCATTAGAAAATACTAATAAATATGTACAGGATTTGTCAAGCCCATATAACATGCCCTTTAAAACTTTAAGTTCAATCACTATTTGTTTTCTACTAATTATACTACATTTTGGCAGCATCTGTTTATTGGTCTGTCATTGCAGAACTGCAACTTAACAATAAACCAGTCTGACATTTTAGGTCTTGAAGATACATACCATATATATTTCTTTAAAAATAATCATACTTTTGTAAGCAATACTTTACAGTAGACACCTCAAAAATCTACCATAGATGGGAAACTTAAAACGAGAAAAATTTAAGTTCTAAATCTTTATACATATATATCCAGATTTCTATATATATTATATATACATACACAAGTATATATAAAATATATATAATCAGATTTGAAAAATGAACAAAAACTGGGCACTGTACATAAAGTCTTTTTGAAACTCAAACAATAGAAAACTCTTTAAACATTAAACAATTTTAATAAAAGTTTCTGTACAATGCTAAGCAGTTTTATTTACACATAGAAAATGTAATAGGAGTAGTGTTTGAAATTACAGAACTCCTTAAAATTTCAATGGCAGGTAAATCTGGAAAAAATAACAGCATTCCATTCACAAATATTTTCAAGCAATAAATACGTATTTATAAATAGTGTAAATTTACATCAGGATTAGAAACAAAAATCACAAATCTGAAGTTTATTCCTTAGTCTATGTGCAATCCAATATCTTTGTGACTTGGCTGTTAATTTTTTAAACATTTTATTTAGGAACCAGAAGTGTAATAACCGTCATGGTTTCAAAACAAGACAGAAAAACATAAAAGCAGTAAAAAAGTTCCTTACATAACTTTTCACATTAAAAAAAAGTTGACCAAATAAAGACTTAAAATTTCTAACTACCTTACAAAGAAATGACCAGCTAGGCTAGTATTTTTTTCCAAGGAAAATTCTGAAGAGGGGAAAAGACAGATGAAAACCAATTTGTCAGCCCAGAAATAGAGAAATATAAAAGAGGTTGTCTTCAAGTCAGTAGTCTGTATGATGTTGCCAGTTTTGTCAGATATATACAAAACATGGAAATTATTATTTTGTTTCTGAAGAACAGCTGATCAGCTTTGTGAGAGTCCTGGAGTAGGAGCAAAGCTCTCCCCTGTCCAGTTGGTTGACACTCCGCACTTGGAAGGTTGCATAGACACAGTTTTCAGCCAGCAGCCTTACGAGATAGCTACAAAAACCAGTGGTGCAGAACTGGGTTACTTCCTGAATAGCAGAAAAGGTCTCATTTAATGTCCATGGAACAATATCAAGATGAGGAGGATGGTAATGGAGGAGCCTGAAAATGACAAGTAAAGTATGTTACTTTGGTTATAAATTGTTAATAGTGTTTCCGAGCTCAAGGCTACAAACATGGTCTGTGTATAAAGGTAGGGGAAATAACAATTCTCAAGAAAGTTCAACTGCCTGCCACACTCTGTCCAGTATAACCTCTGTTACTGCCCCCAACCTGGCCAATTTTCCTAAGAGTCTGAGACCATTACCCTACTTAGTGTCCCCTACATTTTGGTACTTCACCAATTAGTCAAAAACTCTTAAAATGTTACTAGGTTGACCATTTTTTGAAATTGCTTAAAAATTAAAAGAAGGCTTGTAAAAAATAATATAACAAATCAATTACAATTTCCTTGGTGACTTGCTTCAGAACCTAATTCAACTAGATAATAATTTTAACAGGTGATTTTCTTCTTCTTCAAGCAATCTTGAAGACTATTCAAATGAAAATACCAGAAGCTAAACTTCAAAAATTCAGTTTCTGACCACATATGTAAGAGAAAAACTATTGAAGGAATTCAACAATTCATAAATTATGTCTATTTCTTATTCATAAAACTATTGATGTGCTAGAGTAAAATGCTTTCCCCTAAGCATCTGCTGTTTAAAATTTAAAACTGTGTGCAATTTATAAAGGTACTTGAATTTCATAAGGTTATATAACATACCAAGGAAGTTAAGCTCCATCAAATATTCTTGTAAAGTTACTAGTTCTGGCAAGGACAAGGTTTTAAATAAATAAAATTAGCTCTAAAAGCAGAAGTTATTTAAAAGCATACATACTGACTCATTTTGTGGACACTAATAACCTATGTACACAAACATTTTATCAACTGAGATCAAATGACACAAAGGATGTGACAGTGTTCTAAAAGTACACAAAGATTTTAAAATGTAGTTACTGTGACATTATTTAGGGCTGGTCTCACTCAGGAAGAAAAGTAAAAATAAAATATGTCAATTTCATAGAAATAAATACCTGGAAGTGGAGGAGGGGGGAATATGAGTATTTCCTCATGAAGTATAAGTCAAAGGAAAATTTAAATATTTCATTACCTCCTACTCATCAGGTAGAATAAATCCTGGTGCTTCCCTATCCAGCTAACTATGTACTCACATGTTGGTTTCACTTACTAATGTAAATTGGTCATAGACTTGCATCAGGTCCTCCATTTTGTACTGTTCTAGCACCACAAAATTTTCCAGGTTTCCACTTGTTTTTCTTGCACAATCTTGGCAATGCACTATGTAGGTCTTTCGAGAATTGCTCTCATTAGTGACAAAAAGCAGATTAAAAACCTCCACCTAGTTCATACAAAAGAAAAAGCATTCAATACATACAGTAGTATTTATCTTATTGTACTACTTTACTATATAGAGTTCTACTTTATAAGGAGTTGTGGACAGTGATTACTGATTAAAAGTGGGTACTAAGACAAACATAGCTCTGTTCAAGAATCTTTAATAGGCTGGGTTTATTTTGTACCAGACCCAAAGACACAGGTGGGACTGCATCTTTAGGGGAGTGACCCAGGGGAATGACACACTCATTAAAACCACTGGCAAAAAGCCTAATTCAAAAGTTTGATTAGTCTGTTTGTTTTAAATTCAAAACATCAGTAATCAGATGAAAGTGATCCTTACTTTCCTTCTACTTCTCAATGATAGCACTGTGTATAGATACTTGTCTTTCCCAATAGACTGAGCTCCTCAAAGATGAAGACTATGTTTTACTCATCACTGAAACTCCAGAGCTTATCACAGAGCTTAGTGCTTAGCCAAACCTCAAAACAAACTTGATGGATTCAATCATCTCAAATAAAAATCAATGTCAAAATTACACAATTTCAAGGTTTGGAATGGATCATTAATATCTCTGGCTAATATATTGAATGAAAGAAAATTCTCATGACTTCATGTCTTTGAAGTTATGTTAATTACAATCTCAGGGTTAACCATGTTTTGCATTACTATCAATGAGCAATAACAAATAACATAAACCTCAGAATCTGAGTTGGAAAATTTGTGAACATTCTTCAACTTGTCCCTCACTTCTGCCATTTAATGAGTTGTCTTGTGAATTTCACCTTGAAATTATCTTTTTAATTCCTCTCCTTCAATATTCCCACTGCTAGGTTCTAGTTTAGGCCTTAGGATGACAACCTTTAACACCACTGCAATAGCTTATCTCCATCCTCTCCAATCACTTTTCTCTCTGAAATACTTACCCAACTCGGGTACTTGTTCAGAAACTTTTGATGGCTTCAATGATCTCAGAGTTAAGTATCAAACTCCTTAAAATCATTCAAAATGCTCTGCAAACTTCCTACCAACCAAACTCATAAATGGAATTTACATAGTCTGTGTTCTAGTCACACTGAACTATCTACCCTTTTCTGAAGAAACCATTCCATTTCCCATGCTGTTCCTACAGCTCATAAAAACATCCATTCTACTTTTATTTTTTTTTATTGGAAAGGAAAACTTGATTTTTTTTAAAAAGTTATTTTAATTGGAGGCTAATTACTTTACAATATTGTAGTGGTTTTTGCCATACATTAATCTTGATCATTTTTTAGTTGCCTAAAATCATATTCATCCTTAGAGGATGGACTCAAATGTTAATACTTTGGTGAACTCATGCGAACACTAGAAGGGAAAACTCAGGTTATTTTCTTCCCTTAGTGTTTTCCTAACAGTCAGACCAACTTTGCATTCACCATAGTCTCATATATGTAGAACGGTTTATAATTTGTCTTCCCTAAGTAGGATGTAAGCTCCTTCAGAGCAGGTACCACATCTTTGTTTCTGCATCTCTTGCAAGCCTTGGCCACAGGAGAAGATTGACCAACGTACTGTGAATTATACCAGGGAGAACTGAACAATGATCTGCCTGAAACTGTACTGAACTATATCCAGTTGACTGGCAACTGTCTACACCTGGAGTGTTCCCAGTTTAAAATTTCAAGATTTAACTTGACACTTATCATCTGTTAAACACAGCTGTCCCTCAGTATCCATGAGGATTGGTTCCAGGACCTTCCATGGGTACCAAAATCTAAGGATGCTCAAGTCCCTTACAAAAAATGGCATACTAACTGCATATAACCTATGCACATCCTCCTCTATATTTAAATCATCTCTAGATTACCTATAATACCTAAAACAAAATAGTTGTTGGTGTATGGCAAATTTAAGTCATGCTCTTTGGAACTTTTGGAATATCTTCCCAACCCCCAAATATTTTTCATCTGTGGTTGGTTGAATCCACAGATAGGAACCTGTGGATAGGGAGGGTCAAATGTTATCTACCAGATAAATGATTCTAGTAAATACTTTTAGAGTTAATTCAGTTAATTCACAATTAGTGAAATGGCATTTCACCAGAATAAAGTTTAATATAGTAGTTAAATAATAATATGGAACACAATGTCAATTTCAGTAAAATGCATTGCATAAAAGTACATTAAAAAAAATAACTAAAGAGAAACCAAAACTGGAGAGGTAAGAGGTTTAGAAAACAACTGAATAAGAACAATTATTTACCTCACAAATGCTACAGTAATGTGCTGGTTCTTCCTTTGTTCGCCCATGCCATATAATCTCTTTTCCTGCAGCAATGAGAGCTTCCCTCAATGTCTGACACTGCTTCAGAGTTCTCAGAAGACAATACCTAGAGTGTGGGGGAAAGTTACTCATGACCAGCAACTGAATATTGAATATTTTCAGCATGAAGGAAGTAATGCCAAGAGATTCTAATATCTGTAACTTCATTTTTATTTCATCAATTTCTCAGATATCCTCCAATTTAAAAAATAAGACTAATGCTTAGCAGGTCTGACAATGAGTTATTAGATCATTTAAAGTTGAGAATAACTGGCATCTGAATATCAAAATATAACAACCTGACCCCTTGGTTAAATATAAGTTGCTAATTTGGGCTCTTATTTGGGCAAGTCAATTAACCTCTTTGGGAGTCAATGTCTCACCCTTGAAACAAGGGTCTGAATCCCAGATGTGAATTCTATGATTTTAAATAAAGTAGGAAAGCACATTATTTCTATCAATACTACCTAGAAACCTATAAACAGCATCACTAATACGGTTGCTTCTGAAACTTTTGATATCTAAGCAAAAAATTATTTATGGATAATAGTCACCACACAATACAAAAATGGTTTCACTGTAGTGTTGAAGACACTAAATTCCCTGATTTTGACTTGAATACTGTGAAATCTTTCATTCATATTAACATAATTGAACTTTCCTTATAATTTACACGTTTTCTAAACTCATGCTAATGATACAGTAAATTCTCACGATTTTTGGTTTTCTATAGTTTGCTATCATTACTTGGAGTTGTTTGCTAAGTTATCTTACTCTCCTGTGAATCTTAGAGGCTCAGGTTCTTCATTTGAATAGAGAAACACTAGATGATCTGTATGGCACTTTTCAGCTCTAACAGTTGGAGACAATGAAAACACCCTAAAGAAAAGGAAATGGGTTTAGCAACTGAATGCTGTTTGAAAGTAAAGATCTTATCTGTTTTATGCATAGTCTACTCAGTGCTTAGGACGGTATGACTATGGAACTACTAATATTTAAAGTATGATAAATTATAGCATTTTAAATTTCTCTTAATTTATATTTCCTTGCTATTTCATAAGTTACTAGGTTAAAATACTGTAACTTATCAGAACCCACATAAGTTAAAAGCCCGTGTAAAAAAAAGATGATTAAAGATAGTCTGATAACTTATTTAATAAACAAAAAGCAATATCAACTTTACAGTTCTAAGGCAAATCCCTTAAATATCATATAGCAATTCTTAGATGTTTAACTTATTTATGAACAAAATAATGGTTTAAGACTATGTTGCAAGTCAAAGCTAAGGGGGTGTGTGTGTGTGTGTCAAAGCTAAGGGTGTGTGTGTGTGTGTGTGTGTCAAAGCTAAGGGTGTGTGTGTGTGTGTAAGGGTGGTGTGTGTGTGTGTGTGTGTGTGTGTGTGTGTGTAGCTATACCAGGGGAGGAACAAGTAAAAATCTAGAACATGGCAAAAACAGAGAGCATATAAACTCAGGCTTTGCTGCTAGTTCTTTAACAGTACCTGCTCCTCCGTTTTTCCCTCCCTGTGTCCCATACACTTCTCACTGAAGACACTGATCTAACTGAATAAGTTTTTAAAGCAGGGCTTCACAATAAGGTCTTTTTCACAGGAAAATAACGCCCAAAACTCGGCAGATATCTTTGGAGATTTATAGCCTCCACTAGGCTCCCACGTGGGAAAATAAACAAACATAATAAAAATGAATAAATAATTAAGAATAAGAACCAGACAGGAAGCATGGTATTAGATATTTGGCACATATTATACCATTTAAGGCTGGTGCAGGAGGCACTGTTACTTCCACTCTACAAATAAGGAAACTAGGGCACTAGGACCCAGAGAAGCTGATACTATAAAACTATTTTTGAGTAGTTGGACTGTTGTTGTTTAGTTGTTCAGTTGTGTCTGACTCTTTGAGACCCTAAGACTGTAGGCCGCCAGGCTCCTCTGTCCATGGGATTTCCCAGGCAAGAATACTGGAGTGGGTTGCTATTTCTTTCTTCAGGGGATCTTCGGGACCCATGGATCAAACTTGCATTTCCTGCATTTGACGGGTGGATTCTTTATCACTGAGCCACCTGGGAAGCCCTATTGGGCTAGGGGTTTGTAAAAGCAAAAATCTCGTTTCCCCTCACTATCTTACACTGTACTATCATCTTTCTGGTCTCCTTTCACATCTTCTTACCCACCCCCCGCCTTCTCTTTTGAAGATGAGGTTCTCAATCAGCACAGTTCTCCCTCCACAAACACAGAGCATCGGTTCTGTGGAGTCTTACTCCACTCTTTACTCAGCAAATGAACTTTCAGTTCCAATGCTACTACTTTGGCAGGTAGATTGCAGTTTATAATTTATGCAGTTTATAATTTACAATAGTTTCATTTAAAAAAAAGGTAATATACTACTCTTCTGCAAACAATAAAGGGTTAGAGCTAAGGCTGCTAAGAATAAATCCTAAGCCAACAGTATTTTGCTTCTGAAATCACAGCTCCAGAATTTTTATTTTGTGAGATACAGGAATCTAAGAAAACCAACAGCTCTATTAATCTGATTTGACAATGAATAACCAAATTGCGGTTTCCCCTTTGCCCTTATGTTTTTTCCTTAACAGTAAAATTTTTTGTTCCTTCCCATTTTCAAAAGGTAGTGGTTGGAATAGAAGAAGAATTGAGGGAGACAGAGGCTCTTCTGGAGTCCACAGCAATGAGCAGGTCCTCAAGAAGGAATCTGATTTAACTGAAGGGCAGGGGAAAATAAATAGAAAATAAAGAGATTTAAGGAAAAGATCCTAAGAAAGATACACATATAATAGTCAAAATTTGACTTAACAGTAATCTGTTCTGCTTTGAATAATCCCAGACTGATTTTATATGAAGACAATGTTTGAGTGTAATGAGGAGCTAAAAAGTAAAAGTCAAATAAAATAAGGGTTGCAGTTTCCTCATTTTAGTTTTGCGGAATTTTAATAAGTTTATTGCATAGCAATTAAGAATTCAATTTGTTGAACCTATCTATGAAACAGCAACAGATTCACAGACATGGTGAACAGATTTGTGACTGCTAAAGGGGGAGGGGGAGGGGAATTGGAGAGGGATGGACTAGGAATTTGGAGTTAGTAAATGTAAACTATTACATATAGAATGGATAAATGACAAGGTCCTATGTATAGCACAGGTAACTCTATTCAATATCTTGAGATAAATCATAATGGAAAAAGACTGTAAGAAAGAAATATACATGTGTATAACTGGGACCTCCCTGGAGGTTCAGTGGTTAAGACTCCACGCTTCCAATGCAGGGGGCACGGGTCTGATCCCTGGATGGGGAACTAAGATCTCACATGCTGAAAGGTATGGCTGCTAACTACATATATATAACTAAATCACTTTGCTATATGGCAGAAATTAACACAACACTGCAAATCAACTATATTTCAATAAAAAAATATTCAATCTGTTAAAAAGCAAAATAATAAATTACTAGCAAAAAGTTTAAGAAGATAGAAGATGCTGTTTCAAATGCATCTTAGGGACGGGGTCAGAAATTTCAGCATTTCAGGAGCTAGGGAAGTTGGGAATCAAACTTCCCTTTAACCTTGCAAGATCAGTCAGGATCAATCTGGTTTTAGGACTAATGTTTTCAGTTGTTTGGATAAAAGACTACAAAGAAAGGGGTATTAAAAGGCAGATTTGGCTTGAAAGAAAATCACAAGAGGCTGACTGAGGGCTGGATGTATTTGAGGTTATAGAGAAGAACATAATCCAACCAAAAACCCATTTGGCAAAAATGAAACCTAAAGTGGGATGGAATTTTAGAAAATGGCTTAGCGTAGGCAATAGAAATGAAAATATACTTGAAATATCACAATAAAAAAACTGAAGACAATGAGGACAAATGATTATACACAGTATATTCATAAATCAATACATTAGGCAAAAGACAGACAAACTTAGTATGTCATGGATGCTAAAAGGAGAGGGAGGTAGAACTCACAGAAGTTTTCATAAAGAAGTTGCCAATTAAAAAAAAGCAGTAAGAAGTTGCCGATTTAGATGAGACAGGAAGGAGAAGTGGGAGGAAGGCACCTTCCAGGCAAAAGGAATTCCATGAGCAAAGGTAGTGTGGGGATTATTTGGGGACTAAACAATGGTTCTTAGGACTTTAATCTTGGGATGAGGTTTCTGGACTAGGAGAATAAAGGAGTGAAGCCAGAGTGATATTAGATTATGCTAAAGTTAAGAAAACACTAGGATTACTACTCTTGACACTTTGGGGGTAACCTAAGGTTTTCAAAGCAAGGTCCCAAATATTGCTGTGGAGGGAAGAAGCAGCATGGTTTAACTTGATATGGCACTTCTAAAGTCTTTATGGTAACAATCTCTGCCACTAAGCAGCAGATGATATATAACTTTTAAAAGTATACTAAGAAGTACCTTGCCTTGCCCAATCTGTCTTACTGAAATAGCCATGTAGGCAAAGTGAGCCAACAGGTAAGCCCTCAAAACTTGCCACGTGTCACTCCAGAGATAGATACACCTAGAAAGTAGCGAGTGTCTGAATGTCAGTAAGTCATCTAACAGCTTCATTCAAACCAACCACATGGCTGAAAATCAAGGTCTCAGTCAATGAAGGAATGAATATCTTAAGAATTTTAAACTCTCAGAAAAAACAAGCATGAAAGCAAATATGTGTTACCATGAGAATGGAGAGCTTTTGGATTTTTTTAGATTTTGTTTGCTCAATGTTATCACAAAACACTGTATGGTTAAACATAACCCAAGGACAACAGCACTAGAATCTATGCTATGTGGCTATGTGGCAATACCATAGCTTATTAGGCCAATAAGCTATGACTGTAGATTTGTAGAACACTTCATATATCTACTGAAACATGAGAATCAAAGGAAAAAGGTAACAGTTTGCTTTAATTTATACTTAAACTCAGTGCTAGTGATAAAGTATATATTATATAGATAACAGGGTAGACAGGATAACCTATAATATGTGTGGGAAAAAAGGGGCAACAAAAATATTATTAATTCTAAAAAGAGATCAAATCTAGACTAGG